TAAAACAGTATGGTCAAGTATCTGGGTTTAAGATAAAAACATTGGAAAAACAAAGATGATAGTTAAAAATATGACAACAAATCAAAAAGAGGAGTTACAAAGGGTAACGGGATGTGAAATAGTTAAAAAAAGTTAAGTATTTAGGAGTTTATATTGCATCTTCTAATGGTAAATTGTATAAGCATAATTATGAACTGATATGGCATAAAATACAAGCTGAAATCGATAAATGGAAAAAATTACAACTGTCCTTGTTGGGTAGAATAGCAGTTATAAAAATGAATGTTTTACCTAGGTTTTTATTCCTCTTTCAAATGATACCAATACTGAAAAAGGATGTCAACCTGGAAGAATGGCAGAAAGGTATTAATAAGTTCGTATGGCAAGGTAAGAAACCAAGGATAAAACTGAAAATAATGCGTACTTGAAGGATCATTCAAATGAAAGATATTTAAGAGACTGGAGAAGATGGATAGATTATATTCAAAATAAATACCGGAATAAGAAATTGCAGATAGGTTATGAATGATTATATAGATATTTGGTGTGTCTTTAAGTAATAAAGCTAGGTGGGTAATTAGGGAATTGAAGGAACAAGAGATGTGGAATGTCATAATTATTTAGACTAGGATTGATTATGATTGTTGAAGGTTATACCCTGTAATTTGTTCTGGGAAGAGGAGGGGGGAGGGGGGAGGTTGAGATAGGGAAGGGGGGGGGAAATATGTAAACTTTTTGTAAAACTTTTCAATAAAAAAAAAATACATTTCAATCCATATTATCAGAACTCTCTGGTGTAAGAAACATTGATGTCATTTAATTTTTAAACAACTGTAAGAAAACAAAAGATAGTGAAATACAGGATGAATATGTCTTTCCAAACATTTATACTCTATTTTTGATACTCTATTTAAAAAAAATTATGCGGCTATTTATAGACTAAGAAACCACAATATACCAGCAACTAATCTGATTAATAATAATAATGGGAATAATATAAAGTTTTAAGGAATCTTGCCCCTTCATTAAACTGTAAACCAATTATATGTAAATGAATAAAGTAATTACATAATGCTGAAATATATTTGTAGACATCACTTGATCTTAGCCAATATTTCATGTTTTACCATCATCATCATCACTAGAAGTGATATTTAATAGTATTACTCTATAAGAATGTATTTTTCCCTGTCCAGTGAAAGACGTTGAACTTGCCATATGCATATATATTCACCACCCCTTCTATACAATCTGGCACAATAATCTAGTAATGACTTTACTATTCTCTTTTTATAAAATTCATAAAAACAATTTTTTTTCTTAATTGACAAGTAGATATAATTTTCAGAAAATCCAAGATTTTTGATTCTTTGCCAATGAATTCATAATGTAATATATTTTTATTACTTCCTATATTATGTTATTATTTAGGTTTTGTTTTGGTGTATGCTGTTCTTTGATTACAATCTTTACCTAATATATTTGTAAAGACTGCAAATTTTTTCAAATTAACAAAATTATGCAGTCCCTCAAGAGCATTGCTGAAAATGTTACCTTTTTATTTCCTGAAAAAATGCAAGACACTAATTAAGGCTGTAAAATAACTTCAAAAATATGCAAATGAAAGATATTTGTTGACATGTTTTTATGGAACAAAATTCAGTCTGTTGCACTTCAGCAAAGCTGCTGTTCATACTCTCCTCTTATGATATTCTACTATATTGTTGTGCTAGAAATTATTTCAAACTAATTACCTATATAAAAAATCAACAAGCTGCATTAATTGACATGAATTGCCAATTTCTTAAACTATTTCCATTTCCAGACTTTTCAGAATAGAACCAGGAAGTACATCTTTAAAAGCAGGCTGTACTTTGAAAGTTATCAACAAAATATTTTTCATCTTCTGAATAAATGGTAACAGCCATAAAGTTTAGCCATGAGGCACCACATCAAGTTAGAAAAATATCTACATATTGTGATCAAGATTCAAAAATATACCTCTGATGTGGTCAGTCTTCATATTGCATAATAGAAAAGCATTCTTGCAATTTTTTTCTAGCAAGCAAAATTGAATAAGCATTCAGTTTTTATTCTCCTCACCTTTCTCTAAATGCCTGCTGCCTCCTTCCCTGTTCTAGGGAAAGTGAAAGAGAAGATGTATATATTTTTTCTATTGGCATTCTGGTACTAAGCACATATATGGGGGAAGTCCTACCATACCTTCTCTTTCCCAGAGATAAATTAATGCTAAGAAGAAGAGGTAGCCAGGGAACGGGCAATGACAAACTTAGGGGAGTTTTTCAAAGGTTTAATAAAAGTAGTTAAACCGTCCTCACTTGGGAAGTAGAAGGATCTTCCAGAAGAAAAGCAGTCTCTCATGTTACAGTAATTTATAATGCAAGAATCTCTTCAAGTTTAAAATACATTCATCTAATCATTGTCAAAAATAAGGCTGCTTTTCAAAGCAGAAAAGCGTAAAATTTTCTCAAGAGATTTGCACAGATCTAGCAGCATGGTTCTTTGGATCCTGGCAACATCAACAGGAAAAGCTGAATGATGTAACTGGTTCTGGAACATAATGAATCAAAAACTGGATCTAAGTTTTCAATTACCACAACTCTTCAAAGACAGACAAAAGAATCATCCAATTCTAATCCATTTCTGAAACTCATACAATTTCCAGATTGGAATGAAGTGTATGACAATGTGATCAGGGTACATAAAACCTATGCACTGTAGGAACCTGCATCACTAACTTTCTTCATCAACATGTTTTTTCTTCATCAATTAATATTTTTATCAGTAATATTATTAACAATTAGGTATTATATTTTGTTGGTCACTTCCTAATAATCTTAAATTAAGAATTACTATAGCTTGTTTTACATTCCCCATACAACAGAATCAAATTCTCAGTCAATTATTTATTTACATTATACATTTAATGAAAAAGTTACCAATGAAAAATAAGAGTTTTTTTTCTTTTAATGTCCCAGAATACTAAATTTTTGCAGCCGTCATAAACCTTTTGAAGGATTGCTACCAGATTGCTCTTCTGATGTATACCTACATCACTGTATCAAATAATCTATATAGAATTGTTGATAAATCTATGTCAGTAAAAATAAGAGCCACATTTTAAGTGTTATAAAAATAAAACTATGAGAAACTGTTCAGATCTTCTGACCTTATTTTATAATTATTATTTCTGTCATGCTCATTTCTTCCTGTTTAAAACTTGTATTTAAAATGCATTTCATTATTTTTTAACAGTCTGAAATCCTAACACTATTCAGTATATCTTACTAAAATCAATGTAAAAAGAATTATTAGAAGCACCTAGCTATCCATCACACTGAGCTAATTGAAATTTTAAAATGCCTAATTTAGACTCCATTCCCATGAAACTCAGAAAGTAGAACTATTCCTAAAAATATGTGTCCATTTTTAGTCTAGATTCAACACAGCAGTTTCTAAGGAGGACAAATCTCTGATTATGAAATGGCATTTGCAGCTGAGTGATAAAAAAAACCCTATCCTTTAGTATGTATGCGTGATGCTTAGTGTTCATATTAGAAATGGGATGTCTATGATTGCCTGTCCTGCTTACCATTTTGATATTATTAACACCCATATCCACCCACTGGATGCCTCAATTCAACAGTTCCAACAAAGCTTTAAAAGTGTTCCCATCCCCAAACTATGCATAATTAATATTATTTAAACTGTCTAAACTATAAAATACAGACACTTTTTCTTTCAAAAAATGACTGCCATCAAAATAAAGAAATAAATTCAATGTAATAATACATCAAATAATTCTATTTAGGGAAGAGACAGGCAATGTATCTCCCCCCACCCCCATTCCCCAATGTTACTGGAACATATTTCCCTTATCATCATTAGCTCCATTGATAAAAAAGTTGACCAGGTTCAGATTAATATTATGACTGGGAGAAAACTGACTACTTTCTAGTCATTTTGGACTCTTAGTGACTTCCTGGATAAGACTTTCTTGATTTCTTTTTTTGACATTTCTTGATTTTCAAAAGGCGTTTGCTATTGCTTTTCTCCTGGGGCTGACAGAGACTGACTGGCCCCAGGTCACCCAACTGGCTTTGTGCCACAGGTAGAATTAAAACTCTCAACCTGCCAGTTTCTAGCCCAGTGCCTTAACTACTGCATCAAACTACTGTAGTCCAGGCTTTATTTTACATTTAATTTATAATCACAATGATATTCTCAATTGTGTTCTTTTTTGTTATTCAATAACAATTTAACATACCAACTATAAACAATCATTACAAAGTAATACTGTCAATAGGCTGACTACTGGTGTGTCCCCCAGCCCCCCCAATCTGAGTTAAATCATAGATGCATTAATGGATTTAAGAATACAAATAATAGTCGATCATGGCTAAAAACTATGTTCTCCAGCGTATTCCCAAGTGATGCTTTCTAGGCTGTTGAGGCTGCGTTCAATCTAGCCGACCAAGCAGCTTTTCTAACTTGCTGCAGTGCAATGCAAAACGAAAAGACATAGGCATCTCTGAACATAACATATGGGGGCGGGCGGCCCGGGGGAAGTAACAGCAGTTAGACATAATCGCGACAATATCTGGTTTTGCAGTAAGAGCGCCTCGGGCCCGCGCAGTGATGCCGCGCACGGGCTCCTGTACACATGCACATATATAAACACACACACGCCGTAAAGACAGGCACAGGAGAACATGTACTAGTCCTTCTTAGATTTTTTTTTCTCTTAAAACGCACGCGTATCTCTACCGGACAGCTCAGGCTTTATAGATTGTCCTCAGGCGGGGAGCGGGATATCTCCAAAGCCTTTCCCACACTCCAGAACTGGCTAGGTTTGGTTAGACAATCAGCTGCTAAGCGCCTTTCTCTCCTGCTACCTTGAAAAAGCGAACAGGTCGTCCTTGCTTCTCCCAAAGATAGGGTCATCCCGTCAGAGAAGCGAAAAGACCTGTCGTATTTACCTGTTGTCCATTTGCAGCTTCTTCGATGCCGCCTCTAGTTACGCGGCGCTTCGTACTGGGCAGCATTTGAGGTTGGGAGCGCGTGCTCGCTCCGTCCTCCTCGCGTAAGCGGAGATGAGGGGAGGGGGAACCCGTGCCGCCCAAAATAAGAGTCCCGAATCTCAGGAAGGGGGGGGAGAGAGAATAAAGAAAGGACTCAGCTCTTCCGCGAACAATAATGATGCTCCGTCTCTGGATAGGCTCCGTCCGCCAGGCAGATGTCTATTCGAAACGCTGCAATACCAGTGAACATGCAGGTGCTTGTGTAACCGCAAGCATTAAGTTTAATAGTTGGGATTTCTGAATCAAAGGTACTTCTGAATCAATTTATCTACATTGTTTTGGCAATCTAGGGCAGCCGAGTAGATCTATCCAGGACATATATTGAAAAGGATGTGCATGCCATCATTTCCTCAGTAACCAAAACTTGTATGCAAAACTTGGTCCGCGGTGGCTGCATTTGCAGAGATGAGAGCCGGTCACAAGGATCAAAAACAGTATCAAGCCACCCAGTAACAAAAAACAACATAAAACCAGAATCAGGCATGCAGGTTATAAGATAGTCAGAACAGTTTGATTTTACTTGATTCAAAATGGGGTCTTGGTTTGGCAAGGGTTGGGGGAGTTGCTTTTAATGGAATGTCATGGTTTTTTTTAAATTGTTTTCTTTGCTACCCTTTTTTCAGGATTGACCCTTTAGTTATGAAATATACTTTATAGAGAATTCTCACAATTCTAATGCACAGACTTTTCTTTTTTCTATGCTAATTAAAAGTATACAAAGTCTATTATGTCATTATCTGTATTAATCATTTTAGCTTTTAGAATTAATTCTTTAATTCAAAATGCTCCTATGTAACTCTGATCATATGAGTTTAAGGAACTTACTATGCAATACTTAGAACTCCTCACACTTCTCCTCCTCACATTTCCCCTTTTTTTTCCAAATCAGCCATATGGTAATCGATCAATTGCAACAGGTATATATTAACCAGTTTCTTCCCAAGCCTGACATCATGGGCTGGGAGAGAATGTTTCACCCAAAGTCACCTCAGCCAACTTTCATGCCTAAAATAGTACTAAAACTTATGATCAACTAGTTTCCAAACTGGTGTCTTAACTACTACACCATATGTCCCAAAGGTGCTTTTTCAAGAGGCAACTGGACTTTCTAGTTTTTCTTTGAAGACATTTTGCTTCTCATCCTAGAAGATTCTTCAGTTGTGATCTGAAGAAGAAACTGAAAAAGCTTCTGGGATGAGAAGTGAAACATCTTCAAAGAAAAACAAGAAAGTCCAGTTGCCTCTTGAAAAAGCACCTTTGGGACAGCCATGACCTTGATAACTGAGAATCTCCATAGACATTTACTGCACCATACACAAATAGAACACAACAGATTAAAAATTATCAAATTTAGTACACATATTAATAAAAATGATGAATAACATAATTTTATATAAGTTTATCATCATAATCATATCAAAAAACCATAACATTGCTTAACGCATTGTAAGCCGCCCTGAGTCTCTGGAGAAGGGCGGCATATAAATCAAATTAAAAAAAAAAACATCATGCAGCCATATTAATCTCAACAGATGCATCTCTTATCCTCACTTTAGTAAGTATGCATTTTAAAAGTAAAGTTTGTAAAAGCTTCTTGATTATTAGGAGTGAGGGTACAGTTCTTTCTTTCTTTCTTTCTTTCTTTATTAAATTTATATACCGTCTTATTCCTAAGGGACTCAGGGCGGTGAACAGCGAACGATAAAAATACATTTAATACAAACGTTAATAAGAAAACCAATTAAAATATACTAAACACTCTGGTCCTAGATAATTCAAGACATCCCAATTTAAAATAAAATCAAAAAGCAATATAAAGGGAAAGGCCAGGCCAGCCTGCTGAAACAGGAATGTTTTGAGGGCACGGTGGAAAGTGCGCAGATCCGGAATCTTCTGTATCTCTGGGGGGAGCTCGTTCCAGATGGTGGGTGCCCTCACAGAAAAGGCTCTCCCCCTGGGCGCCGCCAGTCGACATTGTTTGGCTGACGGCACCCTGAGAAGCCCCTCTCTATGGGAGCGTACTGGGCGGTGAGAGGCTATTGGTGGCAGAAGGCGGTCTCGTAAGTGCCCTGGTCCTAAGCCATGGAGCGCTCTAAAGGTGGTAACTAAGACCTTGAAGCGCACCCGGAAGACCACAGGGAGCCAGTGCAGCTCGCGCAGGAGGGGAGCCACATGGGAGTGCCATGCTGCTCCCATAACTACCCGTGCGGCCGCATTCCGGACCAGCTGGAGCCTCCGGGTGCTCCTCAAGGGGAGCCCCATGTAGAGAGCATTACAGTAGTCCAGGCGTGAAGTGACAAGGGCATGAGTGACCGTATTTAACGAGTCCCGATCCAGAAAGGGACGCAACTGGCGAACCTGATAAAAAGACCTCCCGGCCACAGCCGTCAAGTGTTCTTCTAAAGACAGCCGTGAGTCCAAGAGGACGCCTAAGTTGCGAACCCTCTCCGTGGGGGTCAATGACTCATCCCCAATAGTCAGTGATGGCACCAATTGACTATATCGGGACATCGGAAACCACAGCCACTCGGTCTTGGATGGGTTGAGCCTGAGTTTGTTCCTCCCCATCCAGATCCGTACAGCCTCCAGGCACTGGGACATCACTTTAAGGGCATCATTGGGGTGGTCCAGGGTGGAGATGTATAGCTGAGTATCATCAGCATACTGATGATACTTCACCCCAAAACCACGGATGATCTCACCCAGCGGCTTCACATAAATGTTGAACAGAAGGGGTGAGAGAACCGACCCCTGTGGCACCCCACATACAAGGGGCCTCGGGGTCGACCTCTGCCCCCCTGTCAACACAGACTGCGACCGATCAGAGAGAAAGGAGGAGAACCACCGCAACACGGTGCCCCCCACCCCTAACTCTTCCAACCGGTGCAGCATGATACCATGGTCGATGGTATCAAAAGCTGCTGAGAGGTCTAATAGGACCAGGATAGAGAAGCAACCCCTGTCCCGGGCCCTCCAGAGATCATCTACCAATGCGACCAATGCCGTTTCCGTGCTGTATCCAGGCCTGAAGCCCGACTGGAACGGATCTAGATAAGCCGATTCATCCAAGTACTGAGGAAGCTGTCGCGCTACCACACTCTCAACAACCTTCGCAACGAAGCGAAGGTTGGAGACTGGACGGTAATTAGCCAACACTTCTGGGTCCAGAGAAGGCTTCTTGAGGAGAGGCCTCACCACCGCCTCCTTCAAGGAGAATGAATTCCCAGGAGGAGAGCTCCTGCAGAGAATGTATGCCTACAGGTCCCTCTCATTGTACTCACAAGAAGTGAGTACTCTCAACAAGCACTCTCTACAACAGCGATTTTCACCGCTGTGCTGGAGCATATTTGCATTCTGTGAAAAGTGTGCAGGTATGCCACATCAATAACTCAGAAGTAAATGATAGAAAGCGCTGTGAAGATGCATAGCCAGAGCTTCATCGTGATTTCTCCTCCTGAGTCCACTCAGCCTATGATGCCATGGGACTTCCAATTTTCACCTTGGAAGTCCCATTTATGAGATGTGCAACACTACAGTTTAGCAACTTGTGCCTTGAAATAAAAAAAGTTTAAAAAACCATTCCTCTGCAAGCATACATAAGTTGTTTTTTTTAAATTTTGTATTTTATCAATTCATACCCCAACCTGAAATAAAATTATGAAATTATCAAATTCAGATTACTGTACTTTTCGGAGTATAAAACACAGTCCCCCCCCAAAAAAAATACCAAAATGGGTGGAACTGTCTGTACATCTTATACAGTGAATGTTGCCGAAGTCCCACCCATCCGCCAGCCCCCACCCTTCGGCCTCTGCCTCCCAGCAATTTACCTCCTTGCAGCAAACAGCAAACAGCATGGTCAGCTTTAGCAAAGCCTGATTTAGCACGAGCAGTTGATTGGTGATTCAATTGCCCTCCTGGAATACTGCCTATCAGCTGTTCCAGGCGGTAGGGATAGTCACTGCCCATTGGCGCTGATGCCGCCCATTGCCGCTGTCACCTATCACTGCCTCCGCACACCCCATTTTCAGCCTCTATGCATCTCATTTTCGGCCTCTGTGCATCCCATTTTCAGCCCATTCCAGGTGGTAGGGATAGGTTGGAGCAGACCAGGCTGGAGCAGACCAAAAATGGCACACACAGAGGTTGAAAATGGGGTTCACTGAGGCGGCGATAGGTGATAGTGCCAATGGGCAGCACCAACGTTGATGGGTGGCAATCTCCATAGCCTGGTACAGCTATTCCGAGGTATTCTGGGAGGCAGATCCAACAGCCAATCAGCTGCTCCTGCTAAATCAGGCTGTGCTGAAGCTGACCACGCTGTTTGCTGTTTGCTGCAAGTAGGCAAATTGCTGGGAGGCAGAGGCAGATTTTTTTTTCTTGTTTTCCTCCCCAAAAGCTAGGTGCATCTTATATTTCAGAATGTCTTATAGTCTGAAAAATTCGGTATACATTATGCATATAAACAAATATTCATCAAATACTATTTAGATGTAGGTCTGTTCCAATGTTCCGATGAAATTATGGCTACTAAATATGCATCCAGCAGTACTACACTGCTCTACTCCTATAACTGGGTTGATACATCACATGAAATCATGAGTGAAGAATAATCCATCACTGGCCAGCTTCATAAAACAGGCTAAACAAAAACTGATGTATCCGGTGGCATGATATGAATATAAGCCAAATATTAGGTTCGCTAAGTTCACTGCAATTCTGAAACAATCACTGTATTCATTAAAGATAAAGTGGCTTAATTCATATATGGTCTTTTCTGTACTTTTGTTTTGAAAATTATTTCAATTAATCATTATCCTTTCATTTATGCCAACTCTCTGTACTATCCTAGCCATATATCATTCATGCTAGTTACCTGTTTTTTAAACTTTTTATAACTTTTTATTCGCTTTTATCTAAAGAAAAATTAGGATATAGTAATTGGACAATTAGAGAAGCTATTGACCTTTTCAATAACCTTTTGAAAATTGAACTCTTAAGCAACCTGCTTTTTCTATAGATAATGAGGCTACAAACTTTTTCCAGTTGAAA